TTGATAAAAAAGAAGTGGAACTCAAGCACGTAAAGACTGAAGATCAAGTGGCGGATATTTTCACCAAACCACTCAAGTTTGAAGTCTTTCAAAAGCTATGCACTAATCTTGGATAGATTTGCAAATTAAGAGACAGTGTTAAAAATTAATTTACAAATTTGAATATAATTAATTAGTTTGTTAGTGGTTGAACTTCATAAATTAGAGTATCTATATATCTTTTAGTTTGGTAGAAGTTGTGAGTTATAAATTAGATTTATTATGTTTGTTGGTAGTTATAATTAATTCTAGTAGTTGTAATAGTGGTTATAAATAGACATGTATTTGAAGTTTTTTTGCAAGAACCACAATAGAAAATCTTAAGTCTTCTCATTAGTCTCTCTAACCTCTTTCTCCTATCTCTAACATTTTTCTCCTCGAAAAATCTTCTAAAAATTCTATGAATTGATTTTTATCTTGCTCCCCAAAATGGGCAAAGTCAAATCTTTTCTGGTTGCGTTTACATCTTATTCTATCTTCTTATTGACAGTGATGGGGTGGAACTAACACTGTAAACCATGTTTAGTCATGCCCCGGATAGGTTTGAGACTTTCAACTAGGATTTTAAAAAATTAAGTTACGCTTGAGTTAAGATATAAAAACCTATAGATACGATCATGTCAAAGGCAGTTTTTACTCTGGGAGATAGGAGCATTTTCTTGTTAGTATTATGCAAGAATGGATGCTGAAATATGTTGAATCAAATTTGTGCAGTATAAAAAAAGATAACATAAAAGAACATGGAAACAAAATAAGCAAATCCGATGTATAAAGGAGAAGGCACTAGTAGAAAATTGTGACAGCAGTAGACAAGAAGATAATGAAAAATATAAATAGATGTACAAGGGAGATTCATAAAGTGAAGTGTTTTGTGGCGTACATGAAGCTTGGAGGGAACTTCACTAGCAACAAAAATTTTAGAGTTTAAGGCAAGGGAGAGGGTTATCTCCTGTTCTGAAATCCATATATTCAATGAGCTTTTCTTTTTCTAAAAGTTAAACAAGGAAAAAAATATGAAGCAGCATTGAATTTGCTTATTTGTTTTCATGTTCTTTTATGTTGCCTTCTTTTTGGACTTCACAAATATGATTCAACATCTTTCAGCATCAATTTCTGCATAATACTAACAAGAACTCCCAGAGTTATCTCTGGGAGTTACTAGTCTATCTGTTTTAGTCAATTGGGAACTGCAGCTTCTTTTTTTGTCCATTATGGATTTCTTATGTTTTCCTCATAACTAAAAAGTGATGGTGGTGATGATTTACGTTATGGTAACCTTGGGTTGCCTTCTTGTATTGTAATAGTGCTGAATATAGCAACATAAAATTGTTTCAATCGTGATTATCCAAAATAATGGGCTTCAAAGTTTATCTTGAATTGTTTATGTGCTATTCCTCGTGTGAAGTATGGAGAGTATTGTTGCCTTTTGAAGCATGAGATGATGCATAATTTGCCATACTAATCAGTAGCTTACTGGAATTGTTTAAATTCTGCACACAAAAAAAAAAAAGAGTGATCAAGGTAGGAAAAGGAAATGGAATGCAGCAAATATAAGGCCAGCAGGGCAACAGAGATTGCTGAGAAGAAGTTTATTGGA